TATAGGATTGTGGTCTGATTGCTGTGAGAGAGTCTGGGTACAGATAAGAGATGGCTGGCAGGGGACAAAATGAGCTCCAGACCTCAGGCACACAGAGGCGGGTGTGAATGATTGGGGGAGTCACCACCACAACCACAAACCCATTGCTCAGGCCATTTAAGGCAGAAGGCAGGGTCAAGCAAATCACCCTTCCATCTTCCTTGAAGCTGGTGGTTATGTCCAGACCAGGCCTGATGTAATGAGGGGTGGGAGAGCCATTCGATTCAGTTCACATTTAAAGGCAAACCTACCAGCTTTGCACATTTCACAATAGTATGTGAAGCGAAACACAGCCAGCCTTCGAAAATTCACAGTTCTCTGAATTTTGCAATGAAGTTCTCTACCCAAGTAAGGTGTACAAAATGCATTTACTAGGGGAACATGTGCGTCAAAATGCATATGTTGGTGACAATATTGAACAACAATGCATTATAGTAGAATAAATTGTTTGGCAAAGATGCACACCATGGACAATCCAAAAAATATGTTTAGTAGAAGGTTGCACTAAAATGCTGGTGAATTTTCATGAGGGCTTTATAAAAAATAAATAAAAAATCACAGCTTCTTGCAGAAATGGGGAGAACTGAATATGTGATTGGAAGAACAAGAAACCTGGAGAAGTGAAGTTGACAGATAAGTGACAGCAGTTCTCCCGGCAGTGGGACCAATGGATTCCAGGCTGCTTCAGCCCCTTCCCACTCACAAAGTGCCCAACCTTGAAGCTTTCGGGGGGTTGCAAGCAGCAGGGATCCTGCCACTAGTATTCCACCTGCTCACCCATTCAGCAGGTGGAACGGGGAGTTGTCCGCTGGTGGAGTGATGCTTGCCTTGCTCTATGGGCTAAGGCTGGGTGGAGATACACCTCTGCTCAATCCATACCCAGCTCCTCCAAAGCAGGAAGGTTGTTTAGATTTCAGCCTTACCTCTGAGCACACCTGTACAGGATTGTGCTAGAAAGCTCCTTGATAGTCAGTGACCAGGCATGCCTACGGCTTCTGTTGTCAGAGAAATTGCAAGTAAATGCCCCCAGAAATTGAAATAGCTGGAGACACCTCCTCACCCCCCGCCTGCTCCCTGCTCAGCTAAGGATGATGCAATGTGTGAAATCATTTTGAAACTGAGACAGAGCGAAGGGAGGGAGCATTGAGCTCTGGCAGGTAGCTGGCGGGCTGCCTGAGCTGCATCTCTGGCGATCTAATGTGAGCCAGTGGATTTTCTGCTGGCAGGAACATCAAGCTTGCACCCCTCCACCTATGCATGCCGTATGCCTTGGTAAATAAACCCAGATAATACCCAAAGTGTTTAATGAGTAGAATCATACATATGTCTACTTTGAAGTGAGCCCTCTTGCATTCACTGGGGCATACTCTGAGTAGGATTCATCTTGGCTACTCTAATGGCTGAAATACCTGTCCCTGATTTTTTGGCTGTGAGAGTAAGATGTTTTAATTGTTTTCAAATATGGCACTAATGCCCTTCTTTCAGATTAGTCTGGTCTCCAAACTAGCCATTTTTAATTAAAAAAGACATTTTAAAATAGAATAGTTTTTCCAAAATACAGGTCAAGCTACAGAACACAATGCACACCCAAATTATAATACAAGGGCTACACAGTAAAAGGGGGGGTTAAACTGTTTGGGGAGCTGTTGTGGGCAGATACCACAGGACACTTTGACCACAACAGTTTTAACAGAAGAGGATAAAGGTAAAGGGACCCCTGACTGTTAGGTCCAGTCGCGGACAACTCTGGAGTTGCGGCGCTCCTCTCACTTTACTGGCCGAGGGAGCCGGCGTACAGCTTCCAGGTCATGTGGCCAGCATGACTAAGCTGCTTCTGGTGAACAAGAAGCAGCGCACAGAAACGCTGTTTACCTTCCCGCCAGGCGATACCTATTTATCTACTTGTACTTTGACGTGCTTTCAAACTGCTAGGTTGGCAGGAGCAGGGACCGAACAACGGGAGCTCACCCCGTCGCGGGGATTCGAACCGCCGACCTTCCAATCGGCAAGCCCTAGGCTCTGTGGTTTAACCCACAGTGCCACTTTAACCACAACAGCTTTAGCAGAAGAGGATACCAGGATGCTTTTAGAGAAACCATAAGCTTCATTGCCCCGTTCTGAGTCATTGCATGCATGGTAAGTGGGTACCAAGTGCTGACAAATGTGCCCTTTACATTCCTTCCTCTGCTAATCCTACTTACATCAGTCTAGCAGAAGTTCTAGCCCCAGGAGTTGAATTTTGTATATTTTATATACCAGTTAATAGTATTTCTACTGGATTCAGCTTTCCACTCTCCTTAAGTTTGGACCTCCACCTTGCAGCAAACCATTCAGATTGATCCCTGTAGAGCTTGCTTGAGTAGTTGGACCCTTGGGACAGATGGAGTAGAGAAGCCTTCTTCAACCTGGTAGACTCCAGATGAACCACCCTTCCCATAAACCGTGGCCATTGGCTATGCTAGCTAGAACTGGTAGGAGTTGGGAGTCCAACTAGCAACATCTGGAGCATACCAGGTCAGGGAAGGCTGGAGTAGCGTAAAGTCTGAATGTAGACGGGCCAATATGGAGAGAAACCCAAGAGGTCATGGATGAGATGCACAGCCAGATGCCAGAAAAGGGCCCATGAGCTTCTCTTCCCTAAGCACCCTTTCAAGTATTTTTCTCCACTGACAAAAACAACAACACTAAAGAGATTGTTCTATTGGATTTAGTAGAGTGTTTACATGAGATACCGGCTATTTACCCTGATGATCCTTAGTCCTGTGCCTGCTTTCAGGGATGTCTTCAAGTACGAAGTGGGATGTCTGGTGTGGGGATTACATGCTTTTGTGAATACGGGGCTCGGATGGCTACCTTGGTTGCAATGGCCTGCCCATAATTCAGCAACAGACACAGCCCCCTGCCTCATTTTCCCATTCTCCCAGGTGGCAGGGATTAGGAACAATGAACAGGAAGCTTGGATCAAGTCCCTTATGGCAGATTAAAGATCAGGCTTATTGCTTCCAAGGGGAATTTGACATAATTGCCAATAAACAGGATAATGGCTGTGACGTCAGTAGAGAAGGTGGGCAGCTGCACCACTGGGACATGGGTTTCAACTCCTTCATTTGATCTTACCATATTGGCCCGAATATAAGCTGCATCCGAATATAAGCCACACCTTTAAAATGGGGGAGGGGGAATACCTGAATATAAGCCGCTCCATTCCTCGCTGCTCCTGGCTGCATACGGGGGGGGGGAGCTGAGCTGTATTGCTGGCGGCCTTTCCCCTTCCTCGCTCTCTCCTCGCTCTCTCCCTCCCCAGCCTTGGGGGAGAGGACGGGGGACTACGCTCGGGGCAGGCGCCGCTTTGCCACGCTCCTGGCGCTGTTTGCCCTGCGCTCCTGGCTGCATACTGTAAAGTCGCGAATATAAGCCGCGCTTTAACTTTTCAAGGTAGGAATTTGGGGAAAAGGTGAGGCTTATATTCAGGCCAATACGGTATTTTAGTCTGCATATACACCATTCAGTGATGTCCAAACTTTTTTCAAAGAGGGCCAGATTTGATGATGTGAAGGGCCGTGAGGGCTGACCAAAGTTGTTAACCTTTTTTTTAGGATTGAAGTTGTTGGGGTTTTTTCAGGATTTTACCCCAGGAAATAAACTGCCACAAGGGCCGGATTAGGCCCCCGAAACGGACTTTGGTCTTGCCATCTAAAGCACATGATTCCCCCCAAGGTATATACAGTGGTACCTCGGGTTACATATGCTTCAGTTTACAGACTCCGCTAACCCGGAAGTAGCACCTCGGGTTAAGAACTTTGCTTCAGGATGAGAACAGAAATTGTGCGGTGGCAGCGTGGGGGCAGCGGGAGGCCCCATTAGCTAAAGTGGTACCTCAGGTTAAGAACAGTTTCAAGTTAAGAACGGACCTCCAGAACGAATTAAGTTCTTAACCCGAGGTACCACTGTATTAGCAGTTGTACCTTGTTAAGGGTGCTGGGAATTGCACTTCTGTTCAGGGTCAACAGCAGTTCCCAGGATTCATTGGGGGAAGCCATGTGTTTAATTTTTTAAAAAAATAATTTTTATTGAATGATTTTGTGTTACAAAAAACAATACAGCCATACTACCACTAAATATAATTAAGAAATAAAAAATACATACATCGATATTTAGTTTGTTATTTGTTATTTACTGTCTTATTTCCTCCAAAACATTGCATACAACAACACACATATGTGCAGACACCCACACCTGCACACAAAATGGTAATAATGAAAGTAAATATTTTTTCCCCTGTTATCTTCCAAAATCTTTTCTTCAACTTTGACTTCCTGTCAAGTCCCTTTGCATATATTTTATCTTACATTTGAAGACAAAACAATAAACCTTTCTATATGGGGGAAGCCATGTGTTTAAAATGCGCAGTGCATATACAGGCTGAGAGTCTCTCCCATCAGAACATCCCACCACACCCAAACTCCTCTTCCACAGGAGTATCAAAGCTCCTGCTTCCCTGAAGAGAAAGCCAAACAAATAATTGCATGGGTCTGATGGTTGGTTGGTTTGTTTATTGCAATATCGTATCCCGCCCTTCAGTTCAATTACGACGCCAGGGTGGCTCACAATTATAAGTAAAACAATCAGAAGACGACAAATTACAATGCAGTAACTAAAAAAAAAAAGCAAACAGGACACCCGACCCTCCACATCTCACAGTGGCAGTCAGCAGCATTAACCAATCTAAGACCAGATTAAAAGATTTTGAAAAAAGCTTTTCAGATAAGTGTTGTCGCGCAAAACAGCTCACATCAGTTAATGAGACCATGAAGCCCTGGTCTCAGGATTGCAAGCTCAAAAAGTAGGCAAAGGAAGCGTGGCGAAAAGCAGAGGGGAAAGGTTTTCAAAGCAAAGAATGACAACTGGGTCACATCCACGCCATAGCACCAAAGCACTGTGATGCCACCTTAACAAGTCATGGAGAATCCTGGGAACTGTAGTCTGTTATGGGTGCTGCTAATTGCAGCTCTGCAAGGTCAGCACCTTTAACAAACTACAGTTTCCAGGATCCTCCGTGACTTGTTAAGGTGACATAACAGTGCCTAAAATGCCAGGTGTGGATGTGATCCTGGAGGAAACAAGTTCCACAGTATAGGTTTATTATTATTATGTTCTTACATCTCTATCCCATCTTTCTTCTATCATGGAGTCCAAGGCAGCATTGCATGTATTTCCCAAGTAGCCCCTCCATCTAGGCACTGACCAAACTTAGACCTGCTGAGCTTCATCCACCAACCTCATGTGCCATCAGGTCATACCCCTGGACCCATCCCATGCTCTCCAACATTCCCCTGGCAAAAATTTTTGTTGTTTAGTCGTGTCCGACTCTTCATGACCCCATGGACCAGAGCACGCCAGGCACTCCTGTCTTCCACTGCCTCCCGCAATTTGGTCAAACTCATGCTGGTAGCTTTGAGGACACTGTCCAACCATCTTGTCCTCTGTCATCCCCTTCTCCTTGTGCCCTCAATCTTTCCCAACATCAGGGTCTTTTCCAGGGAGTCTTCTCTTCTCATGAGGTGGCCAAAGTATTGGAGCCTCAGCTTCACGATCTGTCGTTCCAGTGAGGACTCAGGGCTGATTTCCTTCAGAATGGATAGGTTTGATCTTCTTGCAGTCCATGGGACTCTCAAGAGTCTCCTCCAGCACCATAATTCAAAAGCATCCATTCTTTGGTGATCAGCCTTCTTTATGGTCCAGCTCTCACTTCCATACATCACTACTGGGAAAACCATAGCTTTAACTATATGGACCTTTGTTGGCAAGGTGATGTCTCTGCTTTTTAAGATGCTGTCTAAGTTTGTCATTGCTAAATGGCAAAAATTAGGATGCAGGTATTTCGGTGTCACACGCCTGTGCAAGCCAGCTGACTCGTGTGAGAGTGCGGCACCAAAAGGGACACATCTTCTGATGCCAGAGAGCGCAGCACCACTGCAAGCGCCAGCTGCAAGCACCGGCTTATCCTCCTTCCCAAGTACAGTAGCAGCAGTGCTGGAGCAGGGAAGTGGGACATTCCAGGATCCAATCAGAAGCTTCTGTAATTCCGGCATGTCCTGGGAAAATTGAGACAGTTGACAATGTGTTGTGTTTTTCACACAATAGTCCAGATCAGAGTTTATCAAACTTAGGTCTCCAGCTGTTTTTGGACTACAACTCCCACCATCCCTAGCTAGCAGGACCAGTGGTCAGGGGTGATGGGAACTGTAGTCCAAAAATAGCTGGAGACCCAAATTTGGGAAACCCTGGTCTAGAAGATCCCTTCATGGGGTCTTGTCCATGGGTCGGCAATCTAAGGTCCATGGGCCAGATCAGGCCCAATAGCCTTCTAAATCCGGCCCGTGGATGGTCCAGGAATTGCCGTGTGGATCACCAGTGCATACGTTTTTTCCCTCTCCCTCCCCCTCCCTCACACGGCAGCGGCGGCGGCGCCTCCCTCCCTCCCTCCTCCTGGCTTCTCCCTGCCCTGCCTAGAGGAGGAAAGGGGCTGGGCTTTGTTGCTAGCCGCTCTCTGGAGCTCTTTCGCGTGCCGCTCATCATCCATTTCCCCCCACAAAATATAGTCTGGCCCTCCACAAGGTCTGAGGGACAGTGGACCAGCCCCCTGCTGAAAAAGTTTGAGGACCCCTGGTCTTGTCTGAGCTTCTCTTTGTTAGGATTCCACTTTCTTAAGTAGAAGAGAGTAGAACCGGTTTGTTTGTTTAATAAATCAACGAAGATAAAGGGACATTTCCCAATAAATATTCCCCCGCTCCATACTCACTAACTCTCTGTTCCACCTCTCAGCATTTCTTCACCACATCAGACCCACCAGGGGCCAAGGAAACCAAGCTCTCTATGATTATCCTGATTGAAGGTTAGCAGTCCACACTAAACTAATATTATCAGTTAAGGATTGATATTTACCAGTAACTCCGCTTGTGGATTGCAAATTAGTCTCTAAATACCAGTTTGAATGCTAATTTTTAGCCCTAATTATATGCAGCCTTAATAATTACATCCTATTTCATTGTTATAATTACCATAGTTCATGGCAAGACTCTTCGTGCGCCGTTTTGCAAGTGTGACTCCAAAGCCGTTACTGTGATAAACAAGTATTAAAGCTACACAGTAATTAGTTACATACCAATTTACATTTGAATTGTGTATACTTGGGGAGAAAATAGCGTGAAAAGATTTCCAACAGCACCAAAATGCACTGGGACAGAAGCAGTGCTTTATGGGAAGAAAAATAAGGGAGAAACAGGGCCACTTTCTTTCCATAAAGGCAACCAATTGGCAGCTATATAAAAGGGCAGTTTCACGTGGCAGTTTATTCTGAACTCAGGGCTGCTCACGAATAGAAGTTTGGCAGCATCCACACTACAGTACAGTGGTACCTCTGGTTACAAACTTAATTCGTTCCGGAGGTCTGTTCTTAACCTGAAACCGTTCTTAACCTGAGGTACCACTTTAGCTGATGGGGCCTCCCGCTGCTGCCACGCGATTTCTGTTCTCATCCTGAGGTAAAGTTCTTAACCTGAGGTACTACTTCCGGGTTAGCAGAGTCTGTAATCCGAAGTGTTTGTAACCGGAGGTGTTTGTAACCCAAGGTACCACTGTATCCTCATCAAAATGCCAATTCATCGTTTGCCTCCTGTTTAATCCGGACTTACCATTTCTGCAGGGCTTTTATTTATTTGTTTATTGGATTTTCTGCAGAAACGATAAATCTGGATTAAATGGGAAAGCAATATGGCCTGGATTTTATTTGATTTTTATGATCCGATGCCACACAAACCTTGTACGTATGAACAGCGCTGAGCAGAATGAAACTGACATGTGAAAATGCTGAGTACTTTTGCAGAGTAACCAAGATGGACAGTATTGTTCTTATACCAAATGGACATCAGGTATCAAATGGTATCAGTGGATCCGTAAAACCTGCCCTGTTTCTTTGCAGTATGTAGATGCGGTTAAGTTATTTTATCCTTGTGCTGAAGGATTACAAGTGTGCAATGAAATATACAGCTCTGTGATGTTAAGGCTGCTCTCGTATCTCGCCGAATGATGATGAGCCAAGGTCTGCTATCACCTCAATTGCTCAGAAGATCCATACTGTGTGTGGTGCTTTGTATCCATCCTTGATTATATCCAGATCAGGGTTGGGGAACCTGTGGCCCTCTAGATATTGTTGAATTACAATTCCTAATATCCCTGACCATTGGCTGGGCTAGATGAAGTTGGTGGGAACTGGCCATAACTCAGTGAGTTCCAGGTCCAACCAGCATCTCCAGGAAGGGCTAGGATAGAACCCGGTCCAAAAAACTGGACAGTTGTTGCCAATCATGTTGCCCATTCCTCATCTAAGGTTTGTAGCCAATTAAGTCCTACTCAGAGTATACCTGCTGAAATTAATGAAGCAAAACTAGCAATGCTCGTTGACTTCAGTGGGTCAAATCTGAGTAGGGCTACCATTGAAGACCACTCTAAATGGGTCAATGTAATTTTATCAGCACGGAATATTATACAGACCACATTATTCCCAACTGCTCATTCTGATAATTTAGACTACTAAGATCTTAAAATGGGAGGAAGGGGGACTAGGGCTATCTATCAATGGGACCCCATTGCTGTTGGCTGGTCACCAACTGGATGCCACCAGGTGTGTGGGCTGCCAATAAGCAGAGGGCCACATAGAGATACATGGAGGTAGAGCAGCTCTCCATTACCAAGGATAACTTTCAGTTGGGAAGAAGAAGAAGAAGAAGAAGAAGAAGAGGAAGAGGAAGAGGAAGAAGAAGAAGAAGAAGAGTAGTTTGGATTTGATATCCCGCTTTATCCCTACCCGAAGGAGTCTCAAAGTGGCTAACATTCTCCTTTCCCTTCCTCCCCCACAACAAACACTCTGTGAGGTGAGTGGGGCTGAGAGACTTCACAGAAGTGTGACTAGCCCAAGGTCACCCAGCAGCTGCATGTGGAGGAGCGGAGACAAGAAGCCAGTTCACCAGATTACGAGTCTACTGCTCTTAACTACTACACCACACGGGCTCTCTGGATGTGTGTAACTTGAAGACCTGAGCCAATGGATTCAAGTTACAAGAAAGGAGATTCTGACTAAACAACAGGAAGAACTTTCTGACAGTAGGAGCTGTTTGACAGTGGAACAGAGTCCCACAGGAGGTGATGGACTCTCCTTCCTTGGAGGTTTTTAAGCAGAGGTTGGGTGGTCATCTGTCAGGGATGCTTTAGTTGAGATGCCTGTATTGCAAGGAGTTGTACTAGATGACCCTTGGGGTCCCTTCCAACTCCACAAATCTGTGATTCTCTGATTCTACAGCTAGAGCCACCAGCACCTGTTGGGTGGTTGCACTAAGCACCCTTTCCAGCAGCTGCTGCTCTCCTCAGCCTACTTTGTCTCACCAGTGATCAGGACATGACTCACCGCCAAGGCTTAGGAGATGTCTGTCAGCATTTCTGAGATGCTGAGTCAGTGCTGACAGACAGGGACATGCTGCTGCTCAATGAATCAGCAGACCCAGAATTTCCAACCACATCATCGTATTGCGGAGATTTTGTCACCATCTCACCATCATAATGCTGGCGAGACACTGGGACTTCATTTATTTATTTATTGAATTTATACACCACCCTACACCCAGAGGTCTCAGGGCAGTTCACAGAACAAAATCAGAATACAAAAACACAGCATATATCAGAGTTAGGCAACCTAAGGCCCAGGGGCCGGATCCGGCCCAATCACCTTCTCAATCTGTCCCGCAGACGGTCTGGGAATCAGCGTGTTTTTACATGAGTAGAATGTGTCCTTTTATTTAAAATGCATCTCTGGGTTATTTGTGGGGCCTGCTTGGTGTTTTTACACGAGTAGAACGTATGCTTTTATTTGAAATGCATCTCTGGGTTATTTGTGGGGCAAAATAATTTGTTCATTTCCCCCCCAAAAAATATAGTCTGGCCCACCACATGGTCTGAGGGACAGTGGACCGGCCCATGGCTGAAAAAGGTTGCTGATGCCTG